TTTGACAATTAGTAACCGAAGAGCTCATCTACTGGTATGTACAACTACTTTCTATAATATCAAAATACCATTCCCAACTAAAGATCATGTTCTACAACTTTCAAGAGGATTGAAATTAATTTCAATGATGTGGGAAATTCGAAATATATTAAAAATTATTTCTAATAATTGGAGAAACATTTTAGACAGCATGGAAGAAATAACAATAATACTAGCGGAACAACGAGTAAAAATTGATGAAAATATTCCTCAATTTAGAAACTTTATTTTCAGGCAATATCAACCAATACAATACTCTTATAATTAAATGAACAAAATTTATTTTTTAAATTTATTAAATGTTTTATTAATGTTAATATGTCTCAATAAAAATTGAAAAAATGGCTATTACAGTATTAAGTATTAAATTAAGTGTTAATTATATTGTACAGTACAATTATATAATTAAAATTGTTGTTATATGAGATGGGCCAAAATTTATCTTTAACTTTGCCCAAATTTATAATCGAATTTTGCCCGAATTAAACCCCAATTCTGCCAAAATTTATACTCCAATTTTGCCCAAACTTAGAATTCGGTCCCAATTCTGCCAAAATTTTATGATCCCAAAAAATTATATTTGAACTCTTCTTAGATTAAACTATAATTCTGCCTAAATTTATATTCTAATTCTGCCCAAATTTTATACTTTAATTTTACCCAAATTTATATTCAAATTCTGCCCAAATTAAACCCTAATTCTGCCAAAATTTATACTGTAATTTTGCCCAAATTTATATTCCAAATTAAACCCTAATTCTGCCAAAATATATACTTTAATTTTGCCCAAATTTATATTCTAATTCTGCCAAAATTAAGCCCTAATTTTGCCAAAATTTATACTTTAATTTTGCCCAAATTCATATTCTAATTCTGCCCAAATTAAGCCCTAATTCTGCCAAAATTTATACTCTAATTTCGCCCAAATTTATATTTGAATTCTGCCCAAATTAAATCCTAATTCTGCCAAAATTTATACTCTAATTTTATCCAAATTTATATTCGAATTCTGATCAAATTTATACTCTAATTTCGCCCAAATTTATATTTGAATTCTGCCTACTAATTTTACCCAAATTTATATTCGAATTCTGACAAATTCTGCCAAAATTTATACCATAATTTATACTCTAATTTCACCCAAATTTATATTCGAATTCTGCGCAAATTAAATTCTAATTCTGCCAAAATTTATACTCTAATTTTACCCAAAATTTATACTT